TTGTAAAGTACAAATATAGCTGGCTGAAAAAATGGAAACATTTAAAATATTAAAACTTTTTATTTCAAATGTTCAAAGCTGATTGATGTTTCTTTGGAAAATTCTTAGTTAAAATATTCTGGGTTTGTAAATACAAATATAAATTTAAAATATTATCCAGTATTTCACAAAATGGTTGGTTCTAAAGGAAAAAGTTTAGGACTAGTTTCGCTAGTTGATCCTGTTATTCACTAGTTAATCCTAGGGTAATATGAAGTATATGAAAGTAAAATATCTTTTCAAAACCAAAGCCCACGTTAATTAGATGTATGCAAAGAAAATACGAAAGTGCCCGTTTGCAGTAGATACACACGAGGTTGGGCTACTGAAAGATTTTTAATATTTCAGATATGGAACTAAGTCATGCGGGGAGTTTTGTGGTTAAACATTCTCAAGTATTTGCTTTCACTGAATATCAAATAAAGCGCAAAAAGCTGATCTTTTATGTGCTGATTCTAACATGCTGATTTAAACTAAGTATTGAAGGGAAGTTTTAAAGGTAGAAGTGGAGGCAGGGTTATGCTGACACCTCCTTGCTTGCGCTCGACAGCATTTTCTTCTGCGGTGTATAAACATCTTTGCTAGTCTTTCCAACAAAATTATTTGGTTGGCTGTGAAACCAGGAATGTTTTAGGAAGCCAGCAGAGTTTGAGGAGTTCTCTACTTATCTGCAGAAAGTTGAAGCCCTGCCCAGTCAGTGACCATTCTCAAAGGGGCAGGGGGATTTCCAGGTTATTGGAAATTTAGCGGTAAATCCGACTCTTCCAGCATGTTGGAAAGTTAGTGGGCAGCGTGCAGAGAAAGTAGTGAAAGGTAACCCCCAGGTGTCCCTGCTATCATGATGTCACTACTTGGAAGGGCTGACACAATTGTTCATGTAGTAGAAAATAAATTAAGTTGAAAATAAGTGGTAAAATGCAAGCTACAGTTGACTTAAGGCGAAGTTATTGTATAGCAATCAAACTTTCCTTCACCTAGGTTTAGATTTTGTTCAAAAATGAAAAGTAAAGGTTTCTGTGAAATTAGGGAAACTTAGGAGTAATGCATGGTGGTACAGATGGAGGAGGTGGTTTGCTTCTAACATATAGGTGTGGTGGGGTTTTTTACGTGTTTAGATTTATTACAGAGTTACTAGGCTAATTGCTTGCTTTTTTGAGACTTGCCACTAGTATAAAATTAAGGCTGTGCAGATGCATGTGCAGTATTAGGGAAACATATTGTTTATTGGAAGGAACTTCTTGTAATGTTTTCTTGGCAGGAAAGTGCTGGAAGGCAATTAAAACATGTAATGAGTTACCTTGATCTGATCTCATTACCTGCAGTCTTATTGTTTTATGCTTACAAAGTAGTTAAGAGAATTTTAGGTAACTTTTATAGCAGGGCAAAGCGAGTTCCATGTGCAAAAGTTACTGTAAACTGGCAGATAAGATGGAATTTGTGAACCTCTGCTTATGGATCAGGATTAAAGAGAGGGCAGGGACAGGTGACATTGTAGTGGGGGTCTGCTACAGGCCACCTGACCAGGAAGACCAAGCAGATGAGGCCCTCTACAGACAGATAGGAGCAGCCTTACATTCAGATGCCCCGGTCCTCATGGAGGACTTCAGCCACCCCGATATCTGTTGGAGGGACAACACAGGAGGACATAGGCAATTCAGGAGGTTCCTGGCATGTGTTGATGGTAACTTCCTTCTCCCAGTGATAGAGGAACCAACGAGGAAAGCTGCCACACTGGACCTTGTTCTTGCCAACAAGGAGGGGCTGGTTTGAGAACTTGAAGCTCAAGGGCAGCCTTGGCTGTAGTGACCATGAAGCAATGGAGTTCAAGATCCTCAGGGCAGCACAGCAAGCTCACTACCCTGGCCTTCAGAAGAGCATAATAACTTTGGATATTTCCTATCCTGACTTGTACAGATAGAGGCAGGCCTCAAGGTCTTTGTCTTCATCTTGGTAGTCAGTGTTCTGTTTGTGTATTATGTTCATTTCCTCTCTGTACCAAAGTGGTGGAGAAACAGAAGAATATTGGACAGAAATCACTGTGGAATGGACTCTGAAACGCACTTACTAGGGCTAAGTCCACAAGTCTTATCTTTTTCCCTGCCTGCAGTAGTTCAAACCCTTCAGTAATTTTTAATTAAAAGACAAAGGAGATACTAATGCCTTTATTAATGTTAAATGTTTGTCTTTAGCGTAACTAGGCACCGGTTTGAGAGACCATCCTTGCATTTCTACTATGAAGAACAAACTAGATCATATTGTAGCAGGTAGGGCTTTGCATTCGTTAGCGAGATTGATAATTAACTATCCTTTAAGGTGCCCTGTTGCTTTAATTGCCATTAGGACAAAAATACTGCGTACCTCATACAAAATGGAAGGGGGAGGAGGCAAACGAGGTAAGGAGAGTTAGCTCCATCCTGACATGTTACACATTGAAGAGAAATGACAGAAATATTGATAAAGGTGCAGTAAACATGTACAATTGATTCTGTTCAGCCTAGTGAAGGAGAATGGCTGAGGGAAAAACGTGTTAAAATGGAGAACAGGAATCTTACTGCAATTGCCAATTTTGAGTTCATGCTCTCATAGAATCACAGAATCCTAGAATATCTCAAGTTGGAAGGGACCCCGTAAGGATCGTATCCTTGCATTTCCTTTTGTGCACAGAACAGCTTTAGTTGCCAGCCTGGTTGTGATCCTGGTAGCTCCTATCAAATTGCATTCTTTTTCTGCAACGTAGGGAGGAATTCTGCTTTTTAATTTCTGAAAGTCTAGGTATAGTACCTCTAGCACTCACATTTACATATTGTGGGACATAAATGCACTTGGAATTTCTCTTCCCAGTTCCAATCTGTACAGTTCTCTAAGGTTATTATCAAGAACAAAATTAGATGAGGAGAAGAGCTACCAGACTGAGCTCAGGAGGCCAGAGGATGTAAAGAGGACCAGTGAATTGAAGAAGGGAAAATTAGGAGAGACTAGGACTAAGTAATGTGATAAGAAAACCTCATAGTTAAATGAAAGGGGCTGGAGTGACAGATTTTCCCCGAGGATAACCTCAGGTAGCAAAACACATTTTGGTCCTGCGAGTGAGACCAGGCAACAGTGGCAGCTGTTTTCCTGCCGTGCCTTGGTTGGGGG